AGAGAGAGAGAGAGTAAGGGAGATAGAGAGAGAGAGTGAGGGAGATAGAGAGAGAGAGAGAGAGATTGAGGGAGATAGAGAGTGATATAATATTCACTGAACAAATTCCCTCTGCTATTTCTGTCTTTTTGAAATGAGTGTCAGCAGTGCAAATTAACGGTTATGTTACAATTCTAGAACAAATTTAATATAATAAAAAGTGCGGCTGTAGAACAAAACTAGATAAATGCATGGTTGTATTTTGGATTACGTTTACCTTTAACAAAGTTTTTAATTAGATACATACTTATGTAGACACATATGTGACCTGGTCTACGAAAAGGGAGCTTACGTGCGAAAACTAGTTTTCTGTGAAAAAGCTGTTAAAAGTAAGCAACTCGTTTCGTCAGTTTCTCATTATCTCGTTAATTGTTCTCCGCGCCGGACGTCCAGTAAGTGTTGTTGTTGGTCCAGTAAGTGTTGTTGTTGGTCCAGTAAGTGTTGTTGTTGGTCGGAATATTATTATAGTTCATCGTGTAAGTTGCTAGTGTGGAATATTTAAAAAAGTAATACTGAAGAAGTGACGTTTTTCTACTTCTAAGCAAGTTAGGATTTTCTGCTTTTCACCACGTGAAAAAGCATCTCATCTTCCATCCGAATCAACCAAAAAGTGAAAATTGATTTTTTGACACCTAAGCCCCCTTTCCGTAGACCAGGTCACATATATGTAATTAAGTGGAAAGCTAAAATACAAAATTATCATAACGGGGGGACAAATTCATCGCAACGTCAATGAGCAAAAAAACGTAACAAGTACGTCGAAATCTTCAATTCGGCAACGATGAGAGCGAGATAGAGGGAGAAAGAGTGTGAGGGCGAATGAGATAGCGAGAGAGGGAAATTAGAGGGAAGCAAATAGAAAGCGGAAAGGGGTTAGAGACGGAAAGACAGAAAAGAAGTATAGAGGAATTCCCAAGAGAAAACCTTTCAATAGAAAACATGTAACGTTCAAAAAGAAGCAATTTAAACGGTTTATGGGAATGACTATTATCAATATCTTGTGTTAAAACGCTTTCCGTTTTGAGTAACCTCCGCCTCCTTTCATGCATTGTTCCACCGGTTGCTGTAATTTTTACACAATTTTAATGTGTAGGATACACACATGTAATTGTACAACGAGACAAGTGAATGCTAGTTGGTACACTTTACTTCTGGACCTATGCTCAGTTCGTCTGTATTGTTACGCTCATAATCTACAGCCTTTTCTATATACATACGTACATGTATGTAATATTATTGTGCTTAAAAATGAAAATTAAAGGTAAAGCAACATTGCAAACTGGTGCATAGCCGGAGGAAGTACGAGAACAGCAGGCATACATATTGCTTTCGCACTCATCCATCCGTTTTGATAAGTCCGATTGCCGTTGCTCCTGATGAAATTTGTCGGCAACAGGATGAAGTATCGCTAAAGTAGTTGAACCGTAAAAATTTCCTTTATGCATTTTTTAAGAGCATTAAAATGCGTTTACGCGCGTACATGTGTGCACGCAGTTTAAAAAACATACATTTGGCCATACATCAGTATACTTACATATATATATACTACTGACCATGATAAAAACATTACAAGGTAAAATCATTGAGAGGCGGTCTGACGTTTGCCAGCAATATAATTTTAAAATTCGAACTCAAGCTCACACACACATTCTCATTTTTAATCTCAAACAGCAATTGCATGATAAAAAAAAATATATAAAAAAATAAAAATAAAAAACAATTTCTTTTTTTTTATTTTCAATTTTATATGATTTTAAAATGTTTGCAAGCGTCAGAAAAAAACATAGCCTTCGAATTGAGAGAATGATTTTACCTTCTAATGTTTTTATCATGCTACTGACCAGAGGTCGAAAATATCCCTCTCCACTTTGAAAGTGTCCCAAAATAACCATCACTATTTAAGAGAAAAAAATAACCCACAAAACAGAACGTGGGAAAGTGTTATTTGCATATCTTTCTCCGTTGCTGTTGGACACGGGACACTTATCGCTGGAAGAAGAAAAATAAGTGTTAGAGCGCGGTTACCCACGAACGCCCTTATATTAGTAAAATTTTTAAATTTACCTTGATCTTAATTTTTGCATTTATCTTTACGCACCTTTGTTTTTGTTTTTATTTTTACCTTTGCCTTTATCCTTTTCTTTCTCAATAAAATAAAATAATCAGCCAGGGTGGGAAACACTCTTTGCTTGAGAGATGAGTGTTTGTGTCTGTCGTAAACACCATACAAGACACTTGGTGATGGTTATTTTCGATCTCTGCCACTGACTGTGTATATTTGTATATCGATAACTTAGCGTAGAAAGGCCCTAACATTTTTGCTTTCGTAATTATAAAACTTTATAAAAATACAAGTAATTTTTAAGCAAAAACAAAAACCGGCTTCTATGCTCATATAAAAATTAAAGAGTATCAAATTAGTATGGGACCACCTCTGAGGTACCACCTTTCCTTTACAAAAAGAATTATAGAAATCGGTTAATGTGGTCAAAAGTGATGCGGTAACATACATAAAAAAACAAATATTCCGACGAATAGATAACCTCCACCTTTTTTTTTTTGAAATCGGTTAGAAAGCTCTTCATTTGCGAATTTCTTCTAAACACTGATGTTTAATAAACACCGAAACTAATTTATTGATGTATTAGTTTTTTTAAAATTCGATTCGGTCATTAATGATTAATGATCGTGTTTTTTTTACAGAGGCGCATTTCGAAACGCAGAACGGTGCCTTCAGGGTAGTATTTTAAATAAACGCCGCCATACTACTGGCGAAACCAAGGACTATTTGTAAATTGTTTCACCAAACCCAGTAGGCTATAGTGCTACAAATAACTATTAGAATGTTAAAATGATCTTTGAAAATGTTAAACAAATAATTTCAACCGGGATTACCATATTTGAAAGAAAGAAAATTTATCGTTCTTATAATTAATTATGATCAATTATGAAAAAGGTGGCAAAGTTTTTTCCAGCATTTTTGCTTTTATAATGAAATTTCTTCATTTTTTTTTTTCAAAAAATGGGCCAACAAGACATCATGGAAAGAGTTCAATAAGCGAACACTTACTCGCTAAATTTTACATATTTCTCAGAGGACAAGAGCTATATGGCTATTAAGGCTTTAAATTTCGAAAATAGATGCTTGTTTTTATCATGGTTTTATAAAGTTTTATTTTATTTACTACTAACCTTAACATATTCAAAAAGCGTTGGAATATTTTACAGGGACCGCAACTGCTATGATCTTTATCGAAAAAATCATAATTTTACCATTAAAATGTGATTTCTGTTTTTCTGATCAAGATTACCCATTATTTTATGATCTTTATTTTTTCGATTTCCTATTTTATCGTTATTTTAGATTTTTATTTATCCGATCAAATTTAACCGTTATATTTAGTCTGGTTCTGTAATGCACTTCCGAGTGAATTTGAGTCGAATTCGCTTTGAATTCATATTGGCAGAGGTTGAAATTCACTCGGAAGTGAATTGCAGAACCTGCCTGATTATGATTTCTATTTTTGTTTTTCGATCAAGAAAGATCGTTATTTTTGAACTTTAATTTTGTATTCCCCACATTTAACCGTTATCTATAGATTTATGGCCTTATTCATAAGAACGAAAAATGTCACTGAAGATGGCAAATCGGTTTGCCTCCAAACCACATTTGACAAGGGATGATGGAAAAGCGTTCCACATTTCATCACACTCCTACCCTGTCGGAAACACCAACAACGAAAATGAGAAAAATAAAATGGGTTTAAAAAGCTTTATAAAGTGACATTTTCATAAAAATTTTCGTTTTATAAAACAGTTAAAGTCTTCTTTATTTTTTAAGAATTTGGGTGTTAATGTTTTAGAGCATAAAAGATTTAAATCGGTGAAATATGATCGAAAATTTCACACAAAAAAAATAAAAATTAAAATATAACGATTTCGCAATGATCTAGAAATATAAATCTTGATATTTAACCGTTATATTCTCCCTCATAATACTTCAGTTTTAAGATCCGATGCATAAACAAATTTCGAAGCAAATCAGGGATGTAAAACTTAGTTAAGCGTGCGTAGTTGTGGAGATATAATGGTTAATGTTCTATTTTTTTAAATTGGAGTTAGCTCAGATAGTTATGAAACTGTTAAGCATGATTTGATTTCGCAAAAGATGTGTATTAAAGTGTGCTTATATAATATTGTTGTGCTGTGTGTGTGTATGTTTGTTTTCTATATCTATTTCAAATCATGCATAACTACTTATACAAGCAAAGGTAAGTATGTATGTATTAAGCTTTAGATATATAGAAAAAGTTGATTAAAAGAGTTGCAGGTACAACCTACGTGGCAAGAAGAATCTTGAGTTGTTGGCTTTCTAGAATATTGCATTTGAAATGTTGAACCTGATGACGCGTACATAGCAAATCCAAAAAAAAATAACTGTTCTTACGTATTTCTCCAAAATGCATATGCAGCCGATTGTCTATTTCAAACTAAGCGACCACATTCACCGGCTAACCTAACTGAAATACTGACTTCGATGTAAAAAAAAAAATCCTTTGCAACTCAATCACACCAAATCTGTTTTTATTTGTCTTCTTTTAGTTTTATCCCACACAAATCACTTGCAAGTTCTAAAAGCAAATAGTAATATTGTCACAAAATGTCGGCAGAGGAGCAAATTCCTGTTGTAGCCACCGATGGCGTCAAAGTCACAGAAGCAAGTGAATCGTCGGTTGTAGCGGATGCTGCCATTACCACAGATTTAATTGTCGAGCAGGAGCGCGCCGAAAAAATTCTCAACGCCAAGGAGTTGTACAGTCATGGTTCGCGTAATTTTCTTGTAAAGAGCTATGTTGAGGCAGCAGATGAGCTGAGTCAAGTTTGCGCCTTGTATGAAGAATTGTACGGCGAGCAGTCAGATGAATTGGGCATGCCATACTTGCTGTAAGCACACTTTCGTTTCTATGTGCACTGCCTCTCTACTAAATTTCATTTCACTTCACTTTCTTTCCATTGTAGCTATGCCAAATCATTGATTGCCTTGGCTTTGGATGAAAACAAAGTCATCGATGTGCCCGACGAAGAAGAACTCGAGGATGATGACGAAGAAGATGGCGTTGAGGGTGATGACGATGAAGCAGCAGCGGAAGGCAGTAATGGTGCGGTGGCAGCAAGTTCAAATGGTGCAACAGCAAAAGTCAAGCTGGATGACAACAAAGAGAATGATGATGAGGCAGACTCAACGGGCGGTGAGATAGTGAAGCCTGCTGAAGCGAAAAAATCGCCTGCTGTTGAAAAGCCTGTCGAAGATGGGCAAGTTAGTAGCACTGATGATGTTAATGGTGGTGCTGCTGATGTGGAGCAGAAGGGAAAGCAGAAGGAGGAGAAAACCTCAAATGGCGCAGCCAATGGCAAGTCGGCCACCCGAGTTGTTGCCGCACCTGTTCTGGATGGCGAAAAGCCAAGCACTTCGAATGGCGATGCAGATGCTGGCGAAGAGGACGATGAGGAAGAGAATGAAGCGGTGAGTAGTACTTGAAGCTAATTTCATTTTAATATAAGTACGTGTTTTGTGCGCCTTGAACTGAATTGAATTTGGGAATTGACTCAAACAAAGAGTGTTTGTACTTAGTTATGTAGGTGTCCGGTGGTGCAGCAGCGGGGGTTGATAGCGGGTGTATTATGCCACATCTGCCAGAGGGGCTTATTCCATTTAACCAACTTAGGCAACAACGAGTGAACGAACGTACGCACTTGGGGACAAAATATGCAGTTAGAAATGAGAAAAATATAATCACTATAAAAAAAATTAAAAAATTACAACGAAAGTAAAAATAATAAAATACTCTTATTAGGGTAAAATTTTAAATAAGGGAATCGTATCCGCTTTAAATATTGCAACAAGCAATTAATTTCGAAAATTAAATATTGTCTCCTCCACTGTGTAGTTTTCAAAGTGATTGCTTCAGGCTCTCAATTTAAACTCATTAACTATTTCTTTTTTTTTGCTTCACGCGTATTCCGTAGGCTTCGAATCTGCAATTGGCCTGGGAAATCCTTGAGTTGGCTGCCAAAATATTCATACGCCAAGGTACAAGCGGTCTACCCAACCTTGCTGAGGTGCAAACGGAGTTAGCTAATATCGAATTTGAGAACAACTTGCCCGAGGCGGCACGTGAGGATTACGGTAAATGAAAAAAATTCAACAGCTTTACATATATTTATGTATTTTCGCAAAGAATTTGAAAATAAACTAAAAATTCTTTTCTCATCTATCCACATACATACATATACAGTGAAGGCACTAAAAATTTACAGTGAATTGCCTACAAATTATCGTCGCGCGATGGCAGAAATACACTACAAAATTGGTCTTACATATCTGATGCAGCAGCTGAATAAAGAAGGTGCTGAATCGCTAAAGGATGCCTGCACTTTGATTGATGCCGAAATAAAAGAGCTAGAAGCTAACGAGGAGGAGCTCAGCGAAAAGCAGAAGAACAACATACAAGATATGGAGGAGACAAAACAAGAAATTTGGGCTAAAATCGCCGAAATTGAAGACACACAAGCGCAGGTAAAAGTGTAAATGCTAGGCATGCGCTTAACGATTATTTATTTGCTTCTTTTTTTTTTAATGCAGAACATAGCTGAGGTGCGCGCTGCATTGGACAGTTACATTAAACCCATCAACTCGGAGCAAAAGGATGCCGCTGGACCCTCGTCTTCGTCATCGACGTCGGCAGCGGGCGCATCTTCCTCCAGTTCAGCAGCTAAGCCTACAGACATTTCACATTTGATTAAGCGCAAGAAGCCCGATGAGCAGAGTTCGGAAGCTGAAGCGGCGGCATCACCAGCCAAACGGCCAGCTGTTTAATTCCTTCGCGCCGCTTGAACTTCTTTCGTATTTTTGTTTGTATCTTTTGATTAGCGAGCGCAAGCTTTAGTGTATGTAAATTGCTGCTGCATTCCGTTCATATTTATTAATTCAGTTACATATGCAAACAAAAGTGTAGGGGGAAACAAAAAACTAACAAATAATAAAACAAAATTTAAGGAAAAAAAACGGCGTATGCTGCAAGTGTCAAAATCGATTTTGTTCGCAAAAATTCCTTCATACGGTCAAACAAAAAATACTTTTTTTTTGCTTGCTTAAGCCTTTTGTGTCGGTGCATTGTTTGGTAGTTTTAAATTGATGCAGCAGTTTTATCGGTCTTTCCACTTTTTAATGCATATTTGAGTAGCCAAAGTGAATAATTTTGTCTTTCATTTCTCCATCTATTCTCAACTGGCTGCCGCACTTTCTGTCCTTGTATTGTAATTTAACCGTACAACTACATACATACACATGTACCTACACACAGAGTTTTCAAATTATTTTTGCAGCTGCACTATTTTTTGTCGGCATGACTTGCAGTCAAAAATTGAATTGCCTTTTTATACTTCTCTAAAATTTTCTTTGAATTTAAATTTTAATTTTCTACTGCCAGTAGCGATTTTTTGTTTATATTCTCTTAATAGCAACTAGTTGTAAGCGTATGCATTAATAATATATATTTATACATATATCTACGTACATAACTTATTAATAATAGTTCATGCTAATGTTTGTATTGTTTTTTTTTTTTTACTTAAAAGTTCGATTTGAAAATATCTCTGTACCGCTGCTCTACAAAAAATGAGCTGTAGTTTTAAGTTGGACAATACAAACTTTTAAATTTATATTCAAAATGAATCACGAACAAACACTTTTCTTTGGGGCTATGGGGGGTTCTGCTGATAAATCGAAAGTTTGAGATCGAACTTTTAACACTTTAATGTACCAACTGCTAATTAAGTAAATAAGAAGTCCTATGAAAAAAATAACTTCAAATATTGGGAAGTCGGATGCTGCCGTTCCTTTGCTGTTAATAGGACGGGCAATATTAGGTGACTGCCAGGTCAGGTGCTCAATCAGGTATTTCTTAGATTATTTCTGAAACGGTAACAGCAAATAGTCCATATATTAAGCGGATAAGAAAAGCGATGGATACTAAAAATAAAATTTCCGTAGGCACACTGTTTCTACTCCACAAAGTTCTTCTTTTAAATTTTAGTCTTGCCATAATAGGACAGCAGAGAGGGAATTCTCCAAATGATGGCAATATGAACCCGGAACGTTATTAAGTCGTACGGGGTTTCCTAATGGATAGTGTCGGTCAGGACTACTTTTAGAACCGAGAGTTGGCGCTGAGCCAGTTGCAGAAGCTCCTTTGACCGCCCGCGGTTGACTGCATGCCAGAAATAGCTTTGCAACAATGCATTTCGTCGCATCGGCCAGCGCTCGTTGAGCTTATAGTTGGCTCATCGGTCCAAGAGCAGTCCACAGATTGACACAGGAATCTTTTTACCCCCCCTGTGAGGAGAAATGACCTCAAGGGTGTTCTGCCTAGCCAACGTATTAGACAGTCAGTTAGGATCGTTCCATGAGCGGCGCCAGAGCCCTGATCGCCTTTTTGCTGTCTACTTATTTAGCCTTGTAACCGCCTAAGCGATTTTGGCCGAAATTAATAAAGCTCGCCAGTCGTTTCTCTTCTGTGCCAATTCTTCCTTCACTTGGTCTTTTCTCTGCTACCACCAGCGGGTTCCGCGTTAAATACTTTCAGAGCTCCAGCGTCGTTGTCCGTTCGAGTGACATGGCCAAGCAAGCGGAGTAATCTTGGTTGCGAAGTTCTGATGATGCCTCCACCATATAGCCCGAACCCTTCACGCTCAAACTATCAAGTGTTTTGATCTTTGCAGAAGTCCCTTAATGGTGTTAAGGTGGTTTTGAAGCAGTCCTGCGAAAATCACTTGGGATGTTCGGATCGTCCATTTAGATTGGCATGCAGAGGTATCACGTGTGCTTTGTGGTCACGCTGGGGATGTATTTGTCACCTTAGGATTAATACGCGAGAAGCAACTGTTGACTCGGAATTCCCAGCCCGAAATTCTCTGCGCCATGTGTCTCTTGGCTAATTCCACTTCCTCTGTGTGATAGATGGTGAGAGACATGATGTGGCGGAGTATGTCGCTCAATGCTCTGGCGTACTGCTTCTTCGAAAATGGAGGGTCTACGTCCGTCTTAGCGTTGTTCTTCTAGTCGAGTAGTGACTTCATACGTGTCTGGGTGGCAATTCGTTACAAAATAGTGCACTTTTGGGATTCTCACCACGATGCCATTCCAAAATGAACTCGTTCCAAAGCTGCTCTTTCAACGCCAGTCTGCATCAGTAGGTGGAGCTGCGTTCTGTGAAATTTGTAAATGTCCCCACTGAGAACTGGTTTCTGCCGTCTACACTGAAATTTGTACGTTCCTACCATTGAAGAATGTAGCGGAGTCGGAAGAGATAGTTATCTCGCGCAGGCCGTCGATCTTTTGATCCATCGGCATGATATACCATCCGTTGGCGCGAGCGACTAAGGTAAACCACAGCTGACGGCGAGGGAATTTATTCATATACAGATTAAACAGCATCGGGGACCGCAGAGATAAATCACGATCCACCGTTTCGTTCGATTTGCAAGGGGACGAGTCCAGGACGTCCTGGAAGAGCTGCGCAACGAGAACCATCTTGTCGCATGATCGACGGAGGTTCAGACCTTAACTTATCTGTATGGTGATGACGTTCCGGTAATCGGTAATAATAATGGTTGCCAGAGTGATATGCGTACGTCAGTACTTTCGTGATTTATGGTTTCAAACAGCTCGGGCAGACCTTCCCCACTGGCTCGTAAAAGTTTCGATATCTTCTTGCACACAAAAGCGAATTACGAGGTCGATAGAAATATTCTGGGTTTACTTTTATCCTATTGACATATATGTATATAGAGAGTGTTCTAGACCACCCTCCAACCCCTCTAAAATGGGGGGAAATGTTTTTTATTATTGAAAAAACGCAAAAGTATGACCAATCAGATCAGGGATGCTCTTCTTTTGGTGGTATTACCGACCGGAATTGGATTAAACAGGCCGGAAGTCCATTTTTTATTTTTAAATTAGACATACATCTTTTTACTACAGATTCGCATGCGGAACTCTAAATTATCTGGATTTCGGAATGGATGAACATGTTTTTTTGGAAAACAAAAAAATATAAATCGCCAGGTCGGGGATGCTCTATATTTTGTTCTATTAACGATTTCCGGTTTCGACCGAATGTGGATTAAACTGGACGGAAGTTAATTTTTTAAGTAGGAAATACATATTTTTACCACAGATTCGGACTCTGCGAACAAAAATAAATAAATTTGGTGGGAAACTTTTCTGGAAAGGACTTCCGGTTAAGATAATGAATTTCCGGTCTATTTAACCCGCTTCCAGACGAAACTGGAAGTCGGTAATACCACCGAAAAATAGAGCATCACTAATTTGGTAGATCTTATCTCTGCGTTTTTCAATAAAAAAACATTTCCCCCCATTTTAGAGGGGGTAGACGGGTGGTCTAGGAACCCTATATACGTAGTATTATATTCTGCCGATTTTTTCTATTCGATTTGCTTACTTTACTACTGTTTTGAAAATCATCATACTGAAGTAATCTAACGGTTACTGCTATTTATTTATGCAAGGTGGCAACCATACTAGCTGCAATGCTTGGGCAAACTACAACAAATAAATTGACTACATATGCATTTGATGAATGGTAGAACAACACTGCTATGCAATTAAATAGCTGCTATGTGGTTCAGAAGATTCAACTATGCAATACGTTAAATATTTATGTAGATACGAGTAGTTAAGTTGCTGCCTAGAAGATACTAAAGATAGTACGGTAGTTGAATCTAGCATTCGATATGTACATATGAAAGTAAAGTTTCTTTTCTCTTTAATTGATTGCACATAGTAGAAATTGCATTTAGTGATAGAATGCAGTGTGAGTAGTGTGTAATGCCAATTGAAAACGAATTTTTTCTTCACGCAAATTATAATTTTGAAAAAATTTTTAAAATCTATTTGTGTTTTTTGGTGTGTTTTTTTTTTTTTTTTGTTTGCTTTCTGTTGGAATACACATAGATTGTACCATACGTACTTAAATGGGGCTGCAATGAGGTCTGGGACTCACTATGTTGCCAATCGTTTCGCTGCTCTTCGCCACGAGCATTCTCCATCGAGCCGGCCAGATAGTTGACGCAAGGTGGTGCACCGCGTGGAAATTTTGGATGTCGTCGCAGTTCTTGTAATTCTTGCATCGGCAAGTCTATGCAAAGGGTCCAAATGCCACCGTGCATGGGTACTAGAAAAACGGTGTCTCGCCGAAAGCGATATTCCACTGTAAATGTGTAAAAAGATAAATATTAAAATGTGAATTTTTTTAGGCAGTGTGATAAGAATGTTGCATTTTATTAAAATAAGTAAATACATAAAGAATCCTGAGCAAATAAATATGCAGATGCGCTGCTGCATACTACAATTGCTGAAACCAAGCGGGGCATAACCACAAACAAAAAAGTACTGCCCTCTGGCAGGGGTCCTATCACCTCGTATGTGGAGCTCCTTCAGCTATTCTGCGACAAAGGTATCCGCTACCAAGACTATGCGGACGACATAGTGATCATTGCCAGAGGGTTGTTTGAGAGCACTCTTTGTGACATCAACCAAAAAGGTTAAGATTAACAAAGGTTGTTGGTGTGCCGGTTGTTGTGTGCCGGCGACGGCGCTGGAAGTAGCCCTCGAGCTTGAGCCTCGCCAAAAGAACTATTACTTCTGGGTGGCACGCTGCATTAGTACATAGATGACTGGAAGGCCCCAGAGGAAATAGGAGCTGGAATCTTCGGACCCAGGACCAGGATCCCTGTTCATATCGGAAAATATCCGAGCATCTTTCAGGCAGAAGTCTACGCCATATATCTTTGTGCGGAGACAATCATGAATAGAGCGTACATAAACGAGACAATCATAATTCGGAGCGACCGCCAGGTGACACCCCAGGTTCTTCTATCTTATGAAGTCAACGCTCAACTCCCTTGGCAGACACAATAACATCAAGTTAGCGTGGGTACGAGGCGGCATAGGGGGTAACGAGGCCACGGACTGTCTCACAAGAAAGGCGACAGCCATTAATACAGTTGGCCGAGCCCTTGCTGAGAGTACTTCCCGACTTCATAAAGGTTGAGCTTTGGAGGGAGAGGAACACACAGAGAGATATACATTTGCATGGCTCAGGAGCGATGCGTCAGGCAAAGAGTTTACTGGGAAAGTTTAACAAAAAGAGATTCCAAAGCTTGGTTAATCTCCCAAAACATAGGCTTAGAATTGTAACAGGTATCTATATTATATTATGAGGCACTGCAGACTAAGCGGACATCTACATAAGCTGGGAACATGGTAAAATGATCCGTGCTAGTTCTGCGACTCGACCAGTGAGACACCACGTAACATTCTCACCGAGTGTGATGTAGTTTGCAGAAGACAAGAGAGAAGTCTAGGTTCAATGTGGCCACATCCACCCACTACTTCTGAAGGCGATGTTGAACTTTCTGGGGAACATAAAAGTATAACGCTTCTAGTAGCATTGGGAATCCGATCAAAAAGGTTGTAACAAATAACTAATTTTCAGAAGTGGAATAAAATCAGATAATTGAAGGCTGGTCTTATAGCTCAGCTGTTACAGACCTTTTTCCCTGAAGATCGTTCATAAGTATTCCGTCCCCTCCGCACGTGAGGGAGTGAATGCGAGAGCCATAGCTTCAAGGTCCAATTGGTTTGTTGCTAAAACTGTAGTGAATGAAGATGCCATAGGATATGCTATTGAATCGTTTAAAAGCTTCATCTTCCCCAGCTGAACATTTGTTAATGCACTTGAAAAATTTCTTCACTGCATCACTTACATTTGCTTACAGAGCATAGTAGTGTAGACTAGTTGACATCGCGTTTAACCCTGTAAAGCTTAACTTGTACACTTACTTTTCTTGTCCGGCTTTAACATTGCCACCTTGTCGTCCAACATCCACTCTAACTGCATGCCTGAACGATTCATATATCTATCCAAGCTATTGCGATCCCACGTCACATGTTCCCAATGATCAGTCATAATGGCGGCGCAGAGCATAGCTGTCGCACTGGTGGTCATCAACAGTGTTACGAACAGAAATAGCACCGGCGGTGGGCCGACACAGCAGTTAGAGCAACAAGACGAAGCGTCTGTGCCACTGCCCATATCCATAGCTGAATTCAGTGACGTTGGCGTGCCGAGGCCACCAGCTGAGCCATCGATAAGGCCGCCGCCGCCACCACCACTTTGGTTCAGCGCCTTGGCGCAGCTACTATTTCGCAACAGGATGCTATTGCTGCGTCTCAAACTCTCAACAGCCGCTGCTGCGGCTGCACTTGTTGCCGCCGATGGATCGAAGTGAAACGAGTTTTGTACCACCGCCGAGGGGTGTTCATAAATGCTGTTGTGCCGACTGGGCGCGAAGTAGTAGCACGTCGTTTGTGTATTGCTATTTGTGGCTTTGTTTTGGTGATTACTGTGACCGTTGCCAATGCCGAAGGTGCCGCTGCCACCGGACGCACCGCCAGCCACACCATTGAGTCCGCCCCCGCTACCGCCGTGCTCATTGATTGCGCTCAAGTCCTCATTACTGGACGTATATAATATCGATTGCGCAAATTGATTTGAGTAGCAATTTTGTTTAAAAGCGCTGCTACCAATTTGATAATGGCTTGGCGGCTGGTGGTGGTAGTGATGATTGCTGCCGGTTGTAGATTTACCGCTGCC